AAGGAGGCAGCCTTATCAGTGGCGCACGAGATGCGATAACGATGCAAGTGTCATTGCATTATAATGTTTTTGTTAGCCTATCCAGTTGAAGCCACTATGCGGCGCTGCTGCAATGTTAAATTACAAATATTGCGTGAAAAGATCAATGCAGAGAAGATCTTTTACGTCAAAACTGAAACCAAGCCGTTTACACAGAATGCATATTTCGTGCACTCTCATATTTCGCATTTTCAACAATCACTGTTGCACTCACGTCTCGCACAAAAGAGCCGCATGTTTAGAAAGCCATGTAAATTTACAAAAACATATCGAGACTTTATGGCGGGTTTTTTTCCCCATCCCACTGCATCTCATGTTTTTAAATGAAAAATGTACTCCCGTGTGATTGGCTTTCCGCCCTTTGTATTAAACTATGCATACACACATGATGCCGTTTTATTTATAGTTGTTTAAGCAACTTAATTATAATTGGTTTATAAACATTATTTTAAACATTATGCACTTTTTTTCGCAGATAGTGATGTTATCTTATGCTTTGAATGATGCGCCCTCTTGTGGCCTCAGGAGAGAAGCCAAAAGCTTTTCTTCACCCTAACTGAAATTATGCATTTTAAATTCGAATATAATTCGAATTTTGATAATATTTAAGTACAAAATTCTAATTTAGTTTTTCAGCCATTTTGACAGCCCTAGCAAGCACCAATAAGACAGTAAATGACAAAGACATAAAAATCCAATACTTTAGTGCCATGAAGTTGCACAGAAGGGTCTTGCTCTTTGAGACAGCGAGCACTGAGTTGCCCCAACTCCGACAGAGAAGTCTGAGCCAGTGAGAAGTAACCCTTCACCAGATGAGCCAAAACCTGAAATAAACCACATACAAACAATTCAAGACAAACATTTCATGATGTGCAAATACTGTGGCTGCCTCTTCACAAACAGACCACTCACCTGCAGGGCTTCAAGTCGGATGGGTGAGGGTTCCAGCGATGCTCCACTAGACCCGCCGGCATCACTATCTGAGTACGGTTCCTCGCGAGGCTGAGTGACCAGGCTCACACACAGCTGCAACAGCCAGCACGGCCCCTCCGGACCCCCCTCAACTCCTCCTCCAGGAGACGAGGCTTCTCCGTCTCTCCGAGCGGGAAGTCTCCAATTGTGAGAGAGCTCCTGTGGGGTGCTGATGCCGGGGGTGCTGAGGGCGGATGTGGATCCGGGCTGCTGGAGAAGGAGCTGGATCTCTGGGAGGGGGGCTTGTGTCGAGACTAATGCACCGAAGAGGGTGAGACTGGACACACGGACGTTCACATCTACCATGGGAGGAAGACACAGAATGGTGAATGCTCGAATTGGCTGAATTTTTTGTCTTTTTTTTTAGACCATGTATTCAACATCTGGACAGTTTTAATAGTCCAACTTGTAATAATACCTCTGTGGCGCACATATGGACGGATCTGTTTCCACAGTGGGCTCAACAGGCCCGGTCTGAGACGATTATAGGGCACGTTGGACACCAGGTGGGCAAGGCACTGAAAGACAAAACACAAATGGTGGTGTTCACAAACTCATTGGACCAGATTTACTAACAGCTTGCACCGGAGCAAACCCTCTTTTGGTATTAAAAAAAAACTACTGTTAAGATTCCCTAAAAGCACTCAGTGATTTTGTGAAATCACTCAGTGAAAAATTTGCACTGAAAAGGTGTGGACAGCTGACCTTATTGCAAATGCATTTGTAGGAGTTTCCCTTTCGAACGCAAATTTATGGGAGGATAGTATTTAAATGAATCATGCAACATGATTTACTAAAGTTTGCGGTAGCGAATTTACGCCAATTAGTAATTACAAAATTGCTTAAGTTAGTTCTGAGAAAAGGTCTAGCGTTATTCTGAGGCCACTAAATGTTTTATAAATTACAATAGAAATGATGGTATTATTAATAGTATTTATTTTGAATTTGCTTTTATTGTTGAAATTGGTTTTAATTTTAGTTTAACTGTTAGTAATATCATGATCTTTTGTCATTTTTGTTTATTTAGCATCATGGCTATATTCATGACAAGAAACAAGTTAAAATAGGAAAAGTAAATAAATATATAAACATTTATAAAATAGTTTTTTTAAAGTTGATCTTATATATATATATATATAATAATTCTAAAACTAAATCTGGCCTCACTTCATTAAAAATCAGTCCATCAAAACATACTTCAGAGATCTTGGACTATGGCATAAGAGGCATAAAAGAGGGTGTTTGTATTTGTTTTTCAGAAATGTTTCTATGCTGAAATATTAAATGTTTTTGAATTTTTGTTGTAGTTTTAGTAACTTTGAGTTATCACCTAAACCAAGGCAATATTTCCAATATTTTTAGGTTGGGTTATTCATCTAATATTTATATTTGATCTTTATTTCAGTCACCAAAAATGATTTCTAATAGTTGTAGTAAATAATAAGAACACTGGCGTGAGTGTGTGGTCTATTACCTTTAAGACCTGTGTGAGGGTTTGACAGGATGACTCCGCTACGAGTGCTAGCAGCAAGCAGCGGTGCAGCTCTCTGACACTGGCAGCTAATGTGGCTGAAAAGGGAGTGAAGGCCTGGCGGGGTGCACTGGTGTCTTCAGCGGTGGAGAGGAACTGGCGAGAACCTTCTAGAAGAGCAGAGAGAACCTGCAGAGAGCCTGCCCGTACCTAGGAGCAAATGTGGTACGTCAAATGTCAAATAGGCCATATTTATCTCATGTCAGAATCTAAATGGCCAACAGTGGACTTGTGTTTTACCTTTGGGGAGGGGTCCTTTAGAGCAATGGTCAGGAGGGTAAGAGGAGGAGGGCCTCCAATCCCAGGAGCATCTGGAACAAAGGAAGACCAGTAGCCATAGAGGATTCGTTTCTCAACACACTTGACCACAGCCAGGAAGCACTGAAGCGCACTCTGCCGCACACGTGCTTGATACAGCCTAGACGAGACAGTAGACAAAGCAAACACATTTATATTTAAAGCCATGACAACAAAGTGCAATCATGTCTCATTACAAAAACAGAAAACTAGATTAGCTAATTAACTTCTTATGCAACAGCCAGAAAAAGTTACAGAAATGTAGCATTTTAAACTAGATAATAACCAATAACATCCAGTCAACAATAGTTATTGTCATTATTATTATTGTACAATATCGCATAATGACACAAAATATTCCAAAGGAATAGGCTTATTGTTGTAATATAATTATTACTACTTCTGATTACTATTAAAGCTGTGCAAGAGAAATACAGCAATAGTTATTGGACACTTAAAGCTTGCAAAAAACTAATATTTATGATAACAATAGTTAATATTAATAATACTGATGATCTATTAATTACTAAACATTAACATATGCATTACATAAATCACAATTCTAAATTAAATTATAATTTATTGTACAAAATACAACAGCATAACCATACAAAATATTCATAAGGCACAGGTTTTTGTTTGTTCTAATATAATTACTATTTATCATATAACTACAATTGCAGTTGTGTCAGAGCAGAAATAGTATCAGTTAGTACTGAACACTTGTGCAAAAAGTGTTACAGATATTTCATAACTATATTGTAATTGATATGAATTATTCATTAAAACATGCATTGTTAAGTAAATTGCTTATAATAATAATGCATCTGTTTTTATTGTTGTAGTAAAATTATTATTTAGGTAATCATCAGCAGAAATTAAACGAGTAAGCAAATAAGATCAGCATTTCTGTTAGTGGACACTTAAACATACAAATATTAGTCATAAAAAAAAAACTTAATCTCTACATAACATGTAAAAATACATCTATGCATATATATAGAGCTTTTTTATATAGAGATTTTTTCTGGGTCATTTACCACCTGTCAATGTTTTGTTTGACCTAATAATGTAAGAAAGCTTTCCTGGCATTAATAGCCTGAGAGTCAAACCTAAGTTTAGATTGCATTCCTCCCTCAGGGTCAGAGAATTCAGAGTCTGAGCTCCCTTTCTTCCAGGAAGGGTAGAGTTGTGGAGTCACTCCTGACGGGGACGTCACACTAGCGGACTGCGAGCCAAGAGACCAAGCACTCTGAACCACTCCAGCTCCCCCAGTTTTATGATGCCCAGAGATGTGGTCACCCTCTCCCTCCTCTCCATCATTCTTTCCCTCAGCTCCAGCTTTCTTCCCTTTCCCACGAGACTTGCGCTTCTTGTTCTGTTGGGACTAAAGCAGAATTATGAGGTTTTTCTTCCTCTGGAGATAATACAATTATAGTCTTGATTTTACAACATCCTTTATACTTGTAGTTCTAACACATGTGCACTTATACGAAATGTTTTGGCCACCTACCCCAGCCGTTTTTTTCTGTGCAGCGGAGTCTTGTGAAGGTTCAGGTTTTGCAGCGGGAATAGTCTCGTACTGAGGGAGAGGAGCTGGGTACAACACCTGTGGCATTTCCACACTTATTCCCGGCAGCCCGTAGAACATGAATCTCTGCCAAGGACACAATGAGACAATTATCAATTATCATAATGCAATTAGCTCCCCTCCACTTATAAACTCAGCTTCATTATTGAACTGTATAACCAATCTTTAAATCTACAGCTATAAAAACAAGAACAGAACAGTGTGGATACTTTGAGCACAGCCAATAAGGTGCCCAGATCCTGGTTCGGAACGGCTTTCCATTTTCCACCATTGAGAAAATACTGCGTTCCCTTCAGAGCACTCTGCAATAACTGAAACACAAGCAATGAGAAACTTTTACTTTTACATAAACAAAAGACAAGGTGAATAACCAACAGTACTTCAGTAATCCTAATTAAAAGGAACAGTACTCCCAAAAATGAAAAATTTGCTGAAAATGCAGTGAATGGGTGCCGTCAGAATGAGAGTCCAAATAGCTGACAAAAACATCACAAGTAATCCACATGACCCCAATTCACTTCACTTTCGCTTCACAAGACATTAACAGATGGACTGAAGTCATGTTGATTACTTCTGGATTATTGTGATGTTTTTAATCAGCTGTTCGGACCCATTCACTACAGAGGATCCATTGGTGAGCAAGTGATGCAATGCTAAATTTCTCAAAATCTGTTCTGATGAAGAAACAAGCTCATCTACACGTTGGATGGCCTGAGGTTGGATACGTTTTTTCAACTAAAATTTTTTCATCTTTAGGTGAACAATTACTTTAAGGTGCGGTCACATTTAGCGTTGCTATGAGAAAACTCATGGGTCAGTTCAATAGGAATCTGTGCGATTGGGAGTTTCACATGAGGGCGAAAAAGTTCCCCACGCAAATTTCACTCTGAGCAACAGAAAGTTACTCGGTTTGAAAACGGGGCTTTATACATTGCCACACTCATGACAACAGAAATTGGACATCGCCAAACTTTCGTTAACATGACCTCACCTTGACTTATAGTAGCATCGGTAGATAAACATGCAGTACTTACTGTACAGAAGACAATGTCCTCCACATCAGGTGGTTTGGGGGACTGTAGTGTCCGCAGGAGGATTCCATAGCATACACCTTTATATGGCTCCTCTAAATACGGCTGACCAGCAACACTAATACACAAAAAGAAAACTGACATTTAACTCTAAAGTGCCATTCTCATCAAGGATGATAACATTTTAATTATCCTTCTAATTCTATAATAGATAAGTCCACAAAAAGACTGTAACAATAACGACACAGAGGAAAAATATAATTGGAATCACTTTTTTTTCCCCCTGTGTGCGCTTTTAATAAAGGGAACGTTATAGCCCTGTGAAGTGGCCCAGCACTAATACAGTTATATTTATAGTTATCTTTTTTTATATGAACGGGCCGTGACACTGCTAAATAGTTTCTTTGCTTTTATAAATTTTATTAATAGTCAAATCTTCTAGGTAGCTGAAAACAATTAAAAGGTACGGATGCTGGAAATATTTGGCACCACATCGGTGCACTACAAGATACACGATAAATAAAAACATATTTTGATTTCCTCAGACTGGAGAGAATCATAGTCTGGAGGTAAAAAAAATAAAAATAAATAAAAATAAAAAAAATGATGCCCATCAGACATTATGAAATTTTCTGTGAAATCTGTTAAATCCAACTGCCCAAAATCTGCAGACTGACTCTGGCTTTCAGCTTTCTTGACTGCAAATTGGGGCATAGATCTCGGCAAAAGTCGCATAGTGTATTTCAGCCTTCAGTTAAACTTCTACATTTTAAATAGATATTAAACAGCAGCCAGTTATGAACACTTGATTCATGACATGATTGCACATGGCTCACCTGAGACATAGATTAGCTAAGCAATGCACAGCAGAACGACGTATCTCTATGTCAGGCTGGCTGGGGTCACCGTAGTTTACCAGAATACCGCTCAGTCCAAGGAGCTCTGGAAGATGCTGGCCAGGATTCAAAATTAAGAGGATTAGATTATAAAGAGTACAAAAAAGTGGGAGTTGCCAGATCTGTGATTCTTACTCTGTGACACCTGGATCCATTGCCATACACTAGTGATGAGAGGGCAAGCAACACTTCCGGGTGAGTCCATGAACTGCATGTGCGCAGAGCATGTGTGCAGTATGACACCAAAACATCAAGCGTATGCTCATCCACTATTACCTGTAAGTAGTAACAAAACGTATTTAAAAAAAAGATGCCTCTTGATAAGAAGCCATATGTACAGGTGCATCTCAATAAATTAGAATGTCGTGGAAAAGTTCATTTATTTCAGTAATTCAATTCAAATTGTGAAACTCGTGTATTAAATAAATTCAATGCACACAGACTGAAGTAGTTTAAGTCTTTGGTTCTTTTAATTGTGATGATTTTGGCTCACATTTAACAAAAACCCAACAAATCTCAACAAATTAGAATATGGTGACATGCCAATCAGCTAATCAACTCAAAACACCTGCAAAGGTTTCCTGAGCCTTCAAAATGGTCTCTCAGTTTGGTTCACTAGGCTACACAATCATGGGGAAGACTGCTGATCTGACAGTTTAAATCTAGATTAAAGACTCATCTCTTTAACCTGGCTTACACATAACACACTAATACGCTTCTAATATTCAAATCCGTTAAAGGATTTTTCTATGGGGTATTGTCAAGAGGAAAATGAGAAACAAGAGACCAAAAAATGCAGATGAGCTGAAGGCCACTGTCAAAGAAACCTGGGCTTCCATACCACCTCAGCATTGCCACAAACTGATCACCTCCATGCCTTACCGAATTGAGGCAGTAATTAAAGCAAAAGGAGCCCCTACCAAGTATTGAGTACATGTGCAGTAAATGAACATACTTTCCAGAAGGCCAAGAATTCACTAAAAATGTTTTTTTTTATTGGTCTTATTAAGTATTCTAATTTGTTGAGATAGTGAATTGTGGGTTTTTGTTAAATGTGAGCCAAAATCATCACAATTAAAGAACCGAAGACTTAAACTACTTCAGTCTGTGTGCATTGCATTTATTTAATACACGAGTTTCACAATTTGAGTTGAATTACTGAAATAAATTAACTTTTCCACGACATGCTAATTTATTGAGATGCACCTGTATATTCAATATATAGCCACACTGTAAGTACCTGTAGCTGGTTTAGAAGTTGATGAATCAGTTGGCTCAGTTTGATGATAAGATGCTCTTGGCTGAGAGGAACCAGACGGCTTGCATGCATAAGCATCTCACACACAACCTATGAAAGATGACAGGTGGTCATTTAAAATCCCACCACTACGATCCACTGAATTATGCCCGCTCACAGACATAGGTTCTGCCTTTTAAGATTACTGGAAATTGTACAAATGGCTACATTTTCTGTACATGTTAATTTATTATTATTAGTTTATACTTATATTTTAATTGGTGCATATATACGTGTACACGTTACATGATGTATACAGTTATTAAGTTGATTTTTTTATATTTTTAAAAAGAACTCTCTTACGTTCACCAAGGCTGCAATACTTTATTTGATCAAAAATTCAGTAATGCAGTAAAAACAAAACATGTCTTAATATCAAGATTGAAATCGAATATTTTTTGGAAACCATATTACACGAACGTTCAAAACTTTTATGTAAGATTTAAAAACAACAACAACTTTTATTTAGTAAGGACACGTTAAATTAATCAAAAGTGGCAGTAGATATTTATAATGTTACAAAAGATTTCTCTTATAAATAAGAGCTGTTCATGTAACTTCGTATCCATCAAAGAATCCTGAAAAGAAAATGAATCCACAAAAATATTAAGCAATAAAAACGATTTTCAACAATGATAAAAATAAGAACCATTATTAAAAATTGAGCACCAAATCAGCATATCAGAATGATTTCTAAAAGATCATGTGACACTGAAGACTGCAGTAATGATGCTGAAAATTCAAACAAATTATATTTTAAATTGTAATAATTATTTCACAACATTACTGTATTTTTGAAGGAAAAAAAATGCAGCCTCAGTGACCCCAAGATACCTCTTTCAAAAATAATTAAAGTTTAATAATGCTCAGCTTTTTGACATGTATGCATTTGAGATTTCTTAGATCAGTCTTAACATTTAATTGATTTGTATCCAAAGTTGTATATTAATGTAACTTAGTTATATAAGTTCTGCTTATTTCTAACGTGGAGGTCTCGGTCTTGTTTGGCCTCATTTGTTGTATAGTGATCCATTTTGGAATAACAATAATATAGGTTGTGCCTCAAAACTTAGTGGCATGTCTAAGTAGTATGTGCGGGCATCTTAAACGTGTTCGATCACTAGATTCAGGCAGATATTAAAACGCATTCCATTCGAGCTTTTGAGCCGACGCCCAAACATGTTGTCTAGGTAGGTGACCTAACTTTACTAGGTTTTGGGAGACTGGTAGCTTGTCTGAACTGACAAGACCACAGGAACCAGATGAGTCCTCTGCACAATCTGACTTTGCTGCAGCCTGGAATTGAACTGCTGGTTCGTCTGGTCAGAGGAGAACTGGCCCCCCGACTGAGCCTGGTTTCTCCCAAGGATTTTTCTCCATTCTGTCACCGATGGAGTTTTGGTTCCTTGCTGCTGTCGCCTCTGGCTTGCTTAGCTGGGGACATTTCCAGCGATATCGTTGACTTGATTGCAAATGATTGCAAAGATACTATTTAAACTGAACTGAGCTGGATGCTGACATCACTGAATTCAATGATGAACTGTCTTTAACTGAAAAATGAGTGTTTACTATTGTCATTTTGCATTATTGACACTATTTTCCTAATTAATGCTGTTCAGTTGCTTTGACACAATCTGTATTGTTAAAAGCGCTATATAAATAAAGGTGACTTGACTTGAACTTGACAGCTCTAAGGAAAAGAGCATTAATCTGATCATACCTCTGGTTGAATGTTGTCATGGTTGCTGCTGTTGTAGTTTTCGGAGATGAGCTGGTCGAACAGTAAATTGAGCTCAGTTTTCAGAGTGGCGCTGTCAGACGCTCTCAGTGAGCGGAGTTTATTAAAGCAGCGGCTGATCTGATCCAGCGCCTGCGCGGAACCGTCGAGCTCATGCTGTGCCTTTGATAGAGGAACAAACCTTGATGTATCGGCTGAGGCGGACTGAACTCCTTGTGTGTTGCGACTGGAAGGAAAACTTAAGCTCGACTCAAAAAACGTTGCCTTACCGGCCATCTTTACAGGGTCAAAATAGCGGCTTTACTATGGTAACCAGGAACTACGTCCGAGGTCAACCGGAAATGGCCGTTTTTAAATGAAAACTATTTTATTTTAGACATTTTTTATTTATTTTATTTTCCCCCACCCCTTACGATGAAGTTAATTAGGTTTGGTATTTGTCTGGAAAACAAAGAGTTGGATTTTGTTATTAATTTCTTGCTTTGTCTTGGAAAGTTTTTCATTCATAAACGTAGATGGTTTAAATCTAAACCCAAATTTAACCAGTGGATGAATGAGGTTAAGATTTTGTGCAAATCTTTAGAATTGGTTAAAAACAAGAAAGCTCTCAAATTGATTTCGTTTTTGGGGCATGTAGAAACTAATGTAAAAAGCCCCTTTTGGTTTGTTTGATTTATTTGTTCTATTTATTTATTTTATTTTCTTCTTTATTATTGGTTTATTGTGATCTTGTTCATCACTGGTTATGCTCAACCTAAGGCTGTTCACGTGTTGTTAGATTATGTGATGTGTTTATGTACCTTGTTTGTTTGTTGTAAATGGAAGCATGATAAAAAAATAATTTTAGGCATTTTTTGGGCGGTTATTGTAAATGAATTCGTAATCATCAACCGCATTTCGAGTGGGTTGATAATACTGTATTTTTCAAACCGTGTGGCTGTTTTTCAGACTAAAATCCTCATGATAATACAATTAAAATTGTGAGATTTTGATGACATGGACTCGAATCACACCCCCTAATAATATATTAAGTGTATTTAATATATTAAATGTATTTTTGTTACTGTTCTTAGATAAAACAAGTGTATATTTAAAATAACTTATTTATCAATATATTAAATTATTAAAAAAATGTATGCGGGTAAAGGCCCGTTCACACCAAGCGCGATAACTATAAAGATAACGATAACGATATAGTTCTAAAAATCGTTCTCAATATTAAAGAATAGCATAGTTCACACCACAACTATAACGATAACGATACAGAGGAACGATATCGTTGTGATCACTTTCAAAACGATTTTTTTCCAGCTGATGAACGATAAAACACTGACAGCCAATCAGAATCCATCCTGCTGTAACGAGCTCGAGATTTTATTTTTTTAAATGGAGGATGTAGTTCTCTCACAATTCTGAAGAAAATATAGCGGCAGACACGCGTGCGCTTGGAATAAACAGACGATATCGTTCGCTGGTGTGGACGCTAATATCGTTATCGTTATAGTTATCGTTCTTGGTGTGAACGGGGCTTAACTCTAAATTATTGCGCACATAAGCATTTCGAAACAACACAGGCTTGCGGCATCTGGGGTAAGTTCAAGCTCAAACCGGTGTGCACCGTTTTGCTACGGTTTCCGGTTTGAACGACATGTTTCCTGGAAACTGTGTGCAACGGGGTTTGAGATGCGTTTTCTCTTGTTTGGTGGGTGTGTCAAACATGTCAGCCCAATCAGCAGCAACATGTATGTAAACCACGCGGTATTAAAGAGACAGCTGCACAATGTAATTAACATCCAAATGAAAACATTTCAGCAGTTAAGGTTCTCTTTCATTCTGTTGTTTCTGACAGTAGGGGGCTAGAGGATGCCCTGGACTTTATTTGTATGATGGGAAAATTCCACATTCACAAAGCAAGATGCCTTCATTTTAAACCTAATTGTAAAATATTCACTTCTGATTTACTTTTGTTTTACTCATCACTTCAAAAAAATCTCCTCTAATAAAAAAGCCTTAAAAACATCCAATCTTATTTTAAAAAATGCATAAATAAGTTGTAACTTTTATGATTGTAAAATAATCGTATATTTGTTCACCTTTTAATTGTTTTTGTACACCCCATGTGTTTATGCATATGTTTATGTTCCTGTTCTAATATAAAATAAAATAAAAAACATCCAAATAAATTCACAATAGCAAGTATATTGTTTGCACGGTATCATAAGAAAGCATTAAAGTTTTGGGAACGGCAGCCCTGAACAATGCTTATCAGAGGACAGAAGGACAGAGTTATTTCACAATAAACAAACTGAAATTGTAGCCTACATAGTTTGTGCAATTAGTTATTTAAATTGAACGTTGAAATATATAAGGCGTATTGAATGTTAAAATGCATTTTAAACAAAGTTAAGTGCTTATTATTACCCATTTTACTCTTAATAATTTAATACATTTCATCATTTAAAAGTTTAGTGCAGAAGTATCGAATCGGTATCGATATCGACGATACTGCCTTGAAAAATATCGGTATCGTATTGAAAACAAAATAAGTGGTATCGCCCATCCCTACACTTAAGCAGTTGTTTATTTCGTACCCTGGTTTGGGGGCAAAATCACCGTTGACGTTTCTTCATGTTCTCCGTCTCTCTCCGTAGCGAAGCCTCACCTTGAAAAGCGCGGGAACAAATTTGACTGGTGCAGAGTCTTGCCACTTTAGACCAGTCCAATCAACAATATCGGTCTTAGACGGTTTTAATTTTATGAGCAGTTTAAGTTTATTTAATTGTGTTGTCTTGACGTGAGATTTAGTTGGCGGTTTTAGTACATGTCTGCAGAGTTGGGTAGATTATGTAATCAGATTCCGAAAAAAATTAAAGGGGTCATATGATTCTCTGATGTCAGTTAATGGTCACATTAGGTAAACAAATATAATATATTTTTAGGGTTCAAGTATTTAAATTAGTTTTATTTGACATTTTTATGATTTATTAGCTTTTTATCCACTCACAAACTCGCTGTATTTCCTACATTTAAACCCAATTAGGGAAACCCTGGTTTTGTGCATTTTATAATGCATATGTTGTAATGCATTTTATTGTATGTTGATAGCAAAAGATGGAATATATTTTCTTTTTCTTTACTTTTTTATATCAATATGGTGCGTTTAATGGTAAGTTTAAAACAAGTTTGATAAAAAAGTAAACTGAAAGTAATTGTAAAAAGTAGTCAGATTACGTTACCAACTACAGTTGTCTTCACGTAATGTGTATTTAGTAACAGACTACAATTTGTAAGTAATCTACCCAGCTCTGCATGACTGTTGAGCCTTTTAAACATATGCAAGTGTACTTCTAAAGGTTTTTCTCTGGTTTCCAAAAAAAATAGAAAACCTTTAGGAGTGCATATGTATTGACTTTTAGGAGTATATATATACACATAATCAACATCTTTAAAGAGATAGTTTTATATTTCTTGTTTTTGATTGTTATATTTGGTACGTTGCCATTCACAAGGCTTCTTGTGAAATTCTTTTCCTCACTGTACTCTTGTACCGTCATATTTTTTCTCCCATTTTCATATACTTTTTTCAAATGAAAGTATGTAATGTGACTGGTTAGTTTGGTTCATGGCTTATAACGCTTTAGGAAAATACTTAAAAAAAAATATCCCTGTGAAAACAATGAATGTCAAAACACTTAGGGGAATGAGTGGGCGAGCGCTCTTGCACTCCATACCGCTCGCCACCACCCACTGACTGTTTCAATTGGAAATATGTCAACATAGGAAAGAAAACTGTTTGTCAAAATCTGTCACTGAGTCTTATTAAATAGTGATATTTATTTACATTTTAAGTTCCCTCATGAATTTTCCTGCAGGTCTTTAATTTATGAGTGTGGTTCGTGTAATTTATGTTGTAGAAAAGAATTTCTCTCCTGACTGGTTACATCACTGCATTTGAAAACATGGACAGCAGATAGCAGTCTGGCCACATTTACACACCACATCGTCTTCAACAGGCAGAGCTCCAGAAAAGACTGAACTCTGCACTGTATAAAATATTTAGAGTGGGACCGTCGCTCACCCAGGAAGGCTTTTGTGTCATGACAAAGGGTTTGTGCGGGGGACCATTGACATGTTTAAATATATACACTTTCATAAAAATGGGCATAAAAGCTGCAACGCCTTTAGTAAATGTGTGTCCTTGAAATTCAAGAGGTACTGTATCATATTAATGGCCCCTTGTTTCCAGAAAGGTCTGCTCATTAGTAATTGAACTCAGCCGGCATTCTCCCCATCTCAGCAAAAATGCACACACCAAGAGCCCTTGTCTCCTGAGATAGTGAAGTTTGTTAAATTCTTGAGCTACACTTCAGTAAGAGGCAAATTAAGAAAATTGATCATGCTACATTATAATGCAAAAAAGAGGAACCATAATTTCATTTTACATCACATAACTGGGGGTAGGAATAGTCATTAAAGGGTTAGTTCACCCATAAATGAAAATTCTGTCATTAATTACAGTGTTGTTCCAAACCCGTAAGACTTTCGTTCATCTTCGGAACACAATTTAAGGTATTTTTGATTAAATCTGAGGGCTCTCTGACCCTCCCATAGACAGCAAGGCAACTACCACGTTCAAGGTCCAGAAAAGCACCAATGGTACTGTCGTGAACGCACGTCCACAAGTGACTCAGAGACGAAAATGTGGAATAAAGTCGTTTACTTTTTTGCACAAAGAAAACTATTTTCTCGTAGCTTCATAACTTTACAGTTGAACCACTGATGTCACACTGACTACTTTGTCGATCATCTTGGTACTTTTCTGGACCTTGAATGTGGTAGTTACCTTGCTGTCTATGGGAGTCTATGATTTCATCAAAAATATCTTATATTGTGTTCCGAAGATGAACGAAGGTCTTACGGGTTTGGAACAACACATGGGTGAGTACTTAATGACAGAATTTTCATTTTTGGGTGAACTAACCCTTTAACTAGAAACGGAATGCAGACAATCCTGTTTGGATCTACAAAAAAAAAAAAAAAAGATTCACTTTATACCCAAAATATGTATGACATCATTCTTTAATTCTACAACATCAGTGCAAAACAAATTTGGACTTGGAAAAAACTAACAAAAATCATCTTGTTGCGTCAACTCGTGCAACTACAGAAAGCAAAAAAATTGACTGTATTGCAACATATACAAAGTAAACAATATACACGGTCCATGCATTTATGCACAGCCTCTATAGCTAAATTCACGAGTGTGTATGTGGGAGAGAATGTAAGTGTGTGTGTGTGTGTGTATATAGAGAGTGTGG